ATTCTATTACTTGTCCTTTAACTTTTTTTATAGGTGTATTCCTATATAGTCTTAAACGTTTAATATAGTCATATTGTCAATATTTTACTTATAGCTTCTCAGTTTGAATATTTTACTTCAGGGTAAGAAAAATATTAGTTTGTATTTTCTCCTAAAACTCCTTAGATTTTACATATTAATTTTTAACTCACCTGAATATTTTTTGTATAGTGTGTGAAATAGAGCTCTGTATTTGCTTTATTTCAAGTAATAGCAGTCCATGCACCTTATTTGTTGAATAAGCCTTATTTTACCCATTGATTTGAAATATCAATTTATTAATATATTACATTGTTAGATATATATGTTTGTTTCTAGAATGCTCATTATATTTCATTGATCTACTTGATTATTTCTTTGCTGGTGTTATATTGTTTTAATTGATGAGACTTTATAATGGATTTAAATTTTTCAATATTTTATGATGGATTTTGACATTTAAAAGAATAAATAAAATCAATCTGCATTTAAAAAAAAAGAAAGAAGGAACTCCTACCTTTTGCGACAACATGGATGAAACTGGAGAATATTATGCTAAATGAAATAAGGCAGTCGGTGAAAGACAAATACCATATGATCTCCCCTATAAGTGGAATCTATTCAACAAAATTAACTAACAAACAAAATAAACCACAGGCATGGAAACATGGAGCAGACTGAAAGGGACCAGAGGGGATGGGGAAAGAGGACAATGGTGAAAAGAAGGGGAAGCAACTAAACAAAGAACATGTATGAATGACCGATGGACATGGACAACAGAATGGGAATTGACTGTGGGAGTGGAGGGTGCGGGTGGGATGGGTGGAAGGGGCAAAGGGGGAAAAATTGAGAAAACTGTAATAGAATAAACATGATTTAAAATTTAAAAATAAGCAAATCATCTGAAATGTGGTTGAAGTTTTATGCACAGAAGTGCCAGTATTATTTATTATAGTGGAACCTAGAAAAATCTATTATGTCCAATAATAAGGGATAAGGTAAGAAATTACTGTGTGAACAAATGATTACATAATTAATAGTTATGTTTTCTGCCCTGACCAATGTGGCTCAGTTGGTTGGGCATTGTACTGCAAAGCAAAAGATCAGAATATCTGCATGGATTGTGGGTTTGGTTCCCTGGTTGGACCACATACAAGAGGCAATCGATTGATCTTTCTCTCTCACATAAATGTTTCTCTCCTCCTCTTCTCTTCCTCTCTCTATAAAAATAAATAAATCTTTTAAAAAGTTCTATTTTCTAAGACTACTAATTAAATACAAAAATGTTATACATTAGATAAAAATAAATGGATATAAATTCATATGACTGCCAATATTTTAATTAAAGAACTAAAAAACAATATATGATATGCATCTGGTATGATTTAGCTTCTTTATATTTTTCTGTACTTTCCAAATTCCTTTTTATAAGCATGTATTACTTTTGTAGTCAGGAAAAAAATTCTCTCCCAGAGCCCTCAAGATAAAATCCGAGTGTTTTAGCCTAGCACATGACCAAAGTCAGGCCTTTGCCTGCTGTTCACCTCTCACCATTCCCCTGACCTAGCTCACCTAAGATCATAACAGATGGCTTGTGTTCCCCTAATTGCCATGTCATCACTATGTTTGTTTTTTTATATTATTTATTTATTTTTGTGTAGATGTTCCTTCCCACACTCTGACCTTCATTGGCCTCTTTGACTTCAAGCCCTACCCGATGCTTCAGGGCTAGCCTCCTCTCGGGTACCTGGAGGTGGGTCAGAAACCTCCTACTTTTGCTGCCCTAACACTCTATGGTTCCTTTCTCATAGCACTTACCACGTTGAATTATACTCCTGGTGACCAATCATCCTGGTTTGCCTCTTCCTAATTCTAATTCTCTGTTAACTTGTTCACACCTTAGACTATGACTCTGCAGACTGTATCATCTCTGGGTTGTTAACATTTCTCCTTTCCATTGTATCTATTATCTCATAATTTTTACCCACCTTAGTCTTGAGTTTATTAGGGGCTAGGTAACAAAACATAAATGGAAGGAAGGGTCACTGGTCCTATGAATAGGTGATGTAGGTGGCTACCTCTGTGGTGAGATCTAAAGATGCTGAAAAGTTATTCACAATGATTTCTGTTATAGGTCTGTGAGAGTGCCCATGAAGTTCCCTCTGTAGGTTAAAGTATTTTTGTAATTGGAAGGAGCATCTCGATTAGTTAATATAGAGGGATGGTTTTGTCTACTCCTTCCCTGAGTGCTTATTGTAACTTTGAACAGTTGTTTAAATACTGCCTTTTAAAACTGCAATCTGCCCCATTTCAGTCCCACATTCCCAACTCCCCTACCCTGTTCTACTTTTCATATGTTCTGAATCGCTCACCATCTTCTACATGCTGGTAAAATGTGTTTCTCTATTACATCTGCAGCCACTCCTGCCCCCATCATCACAGGACAGGGACCTTTATTTTGTTCATTGACTCTTCCCAAGTGTCTACAAAAGTGCTTGCCACATAATAGGTGCCTATTAAGTATTTGTTGAATGAATACATGTGCCTAATCTAACTTAGATCTCTAAGATTAATCTTTTTTGAGTCAACGCATTATAATTTTTAATCCAAACTGAAAATTTCAGGTTGTCAAGAAACAACTTTACCTTCCTTTAGGATTAAAAAGCACGACACCCTTAGTGACAAATAATTATTACATTCTTGACAACTTCTCTCATTGAAATGTAGAAAGCAGGTCAGCATGGTTTCTAAACAAAGAATTTCTAATGAGAAATTTGTAGACATTACATATTCTCCTTCCTTATTTTTTTAAAGCCTCACCTGAGGATTTGTTTATTGATTTTTTTAAAGAGAGAGAGAAACATTGATCAGTTGCCTCCTGTACACTCCCCGACCAGGGGTCAAACCCCCAGCCTCTTGGCATACAGGGTAGACTCTCCAATCAGCTGAGCCATCCAGCCAGGGATCCCTTTCCTTGTTGACATATGAAACAATAATCTGGGAATGAGGCACGAAGATATCCATGACATTTGTCCAAGAGCCACGATGACCACAGCCTGCTAATTTTATATTTCCTACAAGAAAAAATTATTTTCTTGTCTTTAGTGTAATTGGGAGCCATGAAGAGTATCTAGGGGCCCTAAAAACTCTAGTGTTTCTCAAATTTGCATAATATACTATGGTAGCAGGCCTCTAAGGTGACCTCCAATGACCCTGGCCTCTATCTGCACATCCTTGGCGGTCTTTCCCACAGTGAACTGGGGCTGACCTGTGTGACCAACAGAAAGAAAACTGCAGAAGTGACAGTGTTGTGTCTTCCAGGCACTCACCATAAAAGGCCTCGCAGCCCCTGCCCTGGTCTCTTGGACTTCTCGCTCTTGGGGAAGCAAGTTGCCATGGTGTGGGGACACTAAAGCAGCTCACTGGCCTGCCAGGTAAGTGAGCCACCTAGGAAACACGTCTCCAGGGTCAGTCAAGCCTTCAGATGATCACAGCCCAGCCGACATGTCCCCAAAACTTTATGGGAGACCCTGAACCAGAACTTAGCTCCCAAATTCCTGACCTACAGAAATTGTGAGAAATAATAAATTATTATTGTTGTTTTAAGAGTTCTAGAGTAATCTGTTAGGTAGCAATAGATAACTAATAAACATACAAATCTCACCATACAAAAAAATGACTTCTGACACCCTATTAGCTTAGTTTTATTTTACTTAAGTATAAACATATAGAATAAACTCTTTACACAACTATTTATACAACTCTTTATACAAACTCTTTATAACTGTATGCAAACTCTGTGTAAACTTTTTACAATTCTTTATACAAGCTTTTATACAACTATTAAAACAAAAGATTCTAAAATTAATCATAGTACAGACAATATTAGAAAACAACCCACTAAAGTCATTTTAATAGAGGGTTGTTTTGCTGAAATCAACTTGCCACTCAACGAGACTATGGCACTGACAGTCCCTGAGATGTCTTCTTCTGGGCTGTTGTTATTGAACAAATTACCATTTTCCCTTTAATTTTGTGTGATTGAAATGGATTTTGTGTAGCTTTCAACCAAGACTTTCTAACAATTTCTGGTAACTTAAACAAAAACCGTAAGCAGGCACCCACTTTCATTCTTCCCCGAGGACGTCCTCGTCACACACTCCCTTCCCCGCCTACCCCGGGGCCCTCCTGCGCTCGGCCCGCGGGCGGGGCGAGGGAGCGGGGCCTGTCCCGGGGCCGCAGGCACACCTGGGCAGCATTCCAGCGGGGGAGGAGCGCGCAGAGCCCGGCCCCGGCCCCGCGTCCTCAGCTCTTGGGGTTCACGTGCTGCAGGAAGCGCGCGCACACCTGTTCCACTCCCTACTCTGTGGCGCCGGCGCGAGCCCGGACGCGTGGGCCTCCGCTCGCAGCTCGGTCTCTCCTCCCGAGCTCCCGGAGCACAGAGCCGGTCAGGGCCGGTGTGCGCTGCACCGGGGCTAACACTAGATGTTTCACGGCTCACACACGGCATCAGGCAGCCGCGGACGCTCTTCGGCCGAGGACACGTCAGCAAGAGCATGCTTCGCACAGAAGGCAGAATTCTACGTGCCTGAAAACGAGAGGCACTCATAGCTCCTTAGGCCTTCGTCTTCACGATGCTAACCTCCCCCGGCAGGGACTGCCTCCGAACGTGGATCCCAGCACCTCCCTCCCCTCAGCCGTCGAAGGGTTTGGCCTCCCGGAGAATGCGTCGAAAAAAGGCGCGCATGCTCAGTGTGAGGCCTCGCGCTTCGCCTCCGTTCCCCCAGTGACGTAAGCAAGTGCATGTTACTCTGGGAAATGTAGTTTCCGAGCCTTGGAGTCACGGGTGCGCCGCCTGCCTAGACCCGGAACGGGACTTCAGCTCCCGGCTGGCTGGCGGGCGCGGGAGGGGACGCGAGAGAAGGGGCGGGGCGAGCAAGAGAAAAGGAGGGCGGGGCCTGGGGGGGCCGGGCGGAGGGGCGGGGCTCCGGCCCCCGGCCTGCCAGCCGCTGCCGCCGCCCGCGGTCTGAGGAGCCGGAGGCGCGGGGCTGGGAACTCCGAGGAACGTGGACCGCAGCTCACCCTGAGCAGTTGCGAAGGCGTCGGCAGCCCCATTTGCAGGTCCCCTGCCCTCCGCCGGGACGCGGGAAAGCCCGGCGCGCGGCGGGGGCGCGAGGTGGGGCTGGCGGGGGCGGCCAATGCGAAACTGGCTGGTGCTGCTGTGCCCGTGCGTGCTCGGGGCCGCGCTGCACCTCTGGCTGCGGCTGCGCTCCCCGCCGCCCGCGCGCGCCTCCGCCGTCCACCCCGCAGGTGAGGGCGGGCCGCGCGGGCCGAGGGGGCGGGAGTCCGGGGGGACGCGCCACCCGTATGGCCCGTTCCCTCCGCGGGCGTTAAAGTCGGACAAACCTGAGGACGCGCTGGCCTGTGCGCGTCCCGCCGCTGTCACCTCCCCGCTCTTCTCCCTGGCCCCGAATCAGCGCCCGCCACCACGAGCCCTGTGGGCGCCCCAGGCCGGGCCGGAGTCGCCCGCCTGCCGGGAGCGGAACCTCGCATGTCCTTAAGCCGCCAGCGATTCGGGCCGCTGGGCCTCTTTCTTCCGCCCCAAGTTGTCGGTCTCGTTCGGTCACGACTGCGCTCTTAAGTCTCTGGGTAGCGTCTGTGCGTGTGTTAAAAGGTGGCTTGGCTTGGCTTCAAGAATATACTGTATTTTGGATTCTATGAAAACTCTGTGATGTAAGTCGGTTAAACAGATCTAGACACGAACTAGGACCAGGCGACGAGTGCAGCTCCACCTGTGAGTCTGGCTTGCGAAGTAATAATGAAGCGCACGTGAAACGCCGGCCTCGCCGCGGCCGTGTCCGTCTGCTCTTCTTAAACCTCCCCTCGCGGGGAGGGAATCTTCTTCACTTTTCTCCTTCGGAACTAGAACGCTCTGCCCGCCGGAGGTGCCCATTTCTGTTAGTGGGCCCCACCGCCCTGAACACTACTTAAGGTTTCCCTGTTTTTCTTCTTTTTAAAGGGCTTACCCTAGGACCTTTAAAGAGACCTGGAAGCCTCTTTTTAAAATGAGGTAATCGTCCTTTGTTTGTTTTTTAACTACATGGGGATTTTTTTTTTTTTTTTTTTTACCACTCTCACCCTTGCAGCTGTTTCCTTGTCGAGAAGTTTTAAAAATTAGAATTGACTGTTTGCAGGGTTTATGCCTTAACTTCTAAGTAGAAACTGTAGAAACGAGTTCGGCAGTCCTCAAAGCAAGCTCGTTGTTATCATTGCGGTTCTTTATTCTGGTAACAGTCTCTTAAAAATCTTTTTTACTGGACAAACCACAGGCTCTTTGAAAAAGCTGTTTGTGGCACCTGAATAGAATTTAAATACTATTTAAGTGATTTATTGAAAGTACAATGTTACAGGGTATTTAACCTTTTAACAGGTTAGGGGTTTTGTGTTTTTGTAAACTGAACTGAGGAAACGGTGCCATATGTATAAAATGCTTTGTAACATTTGCTGGGTTTATATTTTACAGGTGTCTGTCTTTTTGTGTGTGATGTGTGAGCTCTCCTGGAATTTACTTGCAGAGCATCATTAGGGTTTTAATGACCTTAACCATCTTTGGGATTCTATAAAGAAGTGAAACCCTGCCTTCAAGCCTAAAATTTACTGGGCCTGCTTGGCAGTTTCTTAGTTTTAGAGAAGTTTGTCCCACTCCCATGGTGTTTGGGTGATGCCCTCTTGTCATCCAGTTAGGCTAGGGGATGGGGAACTAGGAGGTGGGTCCTGAAAGAGGGGCAGGGCTGGATGAGGACTCAGTACTAGTTACATAAATTTGACTTTAATGGATATTGTGCATCTGGCTAGATAATAGAGCACATGCCTGGGCTGCAGGCCCAGTCCCTGGCTGTAGCACATACAAGAGGCAACCAACTGACGTTTCTCACATCGATGTTTCTTTCCTTCTTTTTCTCTCTCCCTTCTCCTCTCTCTAAAAATAAGTAAAAAATGAATCTTAAATAAAACCTGACTGTCCTAACTTTTCTTTTCCACTCTCAGTGCTTTCAAAACTAAAAGCAATAGGAGTGCCGTGATTGCTGTAATTTCCTGCAGCTCTGCTCGATGTGTTGTCGCCATGCTTAAAATATGTGGGCAGTTTTCATTTTACCCCTTAATACCTTAAGCCTAAAGTGGGAGAGATAACCTAAGAGTTTGTGAACTCTTCTTACCTTGAATTAATGTTTTTTTTTTCTTTTCTGCATATTTGTCTGTCTCCAGTCTCATTACATCTGAGCAATATTTTTTGAAAGGGAGATTTACTTTCCCTGAATATTAAAAAAAAAAAAAAAGCCCTCTGACTTGCCATTGATTCAGCACATGTTGGGGAGACTACTCTGTCCTGTTGTAGGTGTGGAATGACAGCAGAATCAAGATAAAGTCCCTACCTTCATGCAGTTTACAATTTAGAGGGAAAGACAGAGCACAGGAAACAGTTATTAAATATCGTAAGGGTAGTGATAGGTGCAATAACAAAAAAGCGGGGGGAGGCAGTGTAAGAGGCTGGAGAATGCTGTGCTGCTGTTTTAAGTAGAGAGGTCCCAGGAGGCCTCTGAAGAGGTGACAGTTGAGCAGGGTCCTGCTATTCCAGTGCAGTGACTCACTTTAAACAGCTGAACCACCATCAGGGAGAGAACCTGGTAAAGAAGAAACAGGTCTCATGTGAAATCCATAGAGATGGAGACAACCAGTGGAATAGAGAATATAGATATAGGATATCTTGATTATAACATGTTAGTTTGGGATGGTGCATTAGGGAGAATTTTTTAACGATTAACTTAGAAAAATGACATGACCAAAAAAGGCTTTTCTGTCTAGGATATTTGAATTAAAAAAGCATAGCCATTCTAATGCTCAGAGTGCCAGTTCTTGTGCTAGATACATAGTCCCTTGCTATCAAGGTGCTCACAATCTGTCTAATTGAAACAGACATGGGGCAGGGAGAAACCAAAGACAAATTAAGCTTGCTTTGCAATTTTTCCTGGGGCTGGTTTATCTAGAATAATCCCTATATACTAATTTTGACTGTGTTTACTTATAAAATGATAACCTCATAGAGTTTTGTGAAAATTCAATGAATAAAACAGCCAGGGCAGTGCCTGATTCCTAGTAAACACTCCATGAATTTTAGAGAGGATGGAAGTATCTTGGTGGTTCATGCCTTTTTTAGTGAGGTATGTTGAGAGGTACCTGAAATTGGCAAGGGCGTGCTAATAGTGATGATTGTCCTTGTCGGTTGGTCTGTGATGAACTTGTATGATTTTCTTGTTTTCAAGGTTTCTGCCTATTTGTGATTGATATCATCTGAGAGCATGCACATAAGAGTGGCGGTTTTGGTGTGATTTTTAATAATCCTTGGATTTATTTGGAACAATCAGTTTTGAAGTCAGTTTCACATAGTCTTCAATAAACTTTTGGGCATTTGCTCTCAGTGCAGAGCCAGGCAAGTTGCCATATCCTCAGGATACATTGTGTATAAACAAAACAAAGGGTGGTTGTCTTCAGGGAGCCTGCTTAGGGTTAATTCTTGACACTGTTAATATTTGTTTCTTGCTGTATATCTACCATCTAGAACAGTGAACATAGGAGGTACTCAGTAATTTGAAGGAATGAATCAAGATAATAAAACTAGGAAAGTATGAATTTGTCACATATAGATCACCTGTTGACATTTCATGATGACCTTATATTTAAAAATTTTTTCTTGTGAAAGTAAAACATGCTCTTCATAGAAAAGTTTTAAGTCATTTAAGAAAAAAACAAACAAACAGGAAAAGCTTATCTATACCAGACAGATTTTGAATGCACATACATATAATACCTGTTTAGGAGAAATTAGTATTTAAAAAATTTTTTATTGATGTGTAATACACATTTGGAAAAGTGCATATAAGTGTGCAGCTTGATATATTTTCCGAAACAAAATACACCCAACTAATCAGCACTGAAACTAAAAACAAGAAATTACCAACACCTAATTAGAAGCTCCCTTTGAGTCCCCTTTTCTCACTGCAGAGTGGTAATCCTGTCCTGCTTTAATGGCAGAGATTTGCCTGAGTTTCTATTGTATTTAAGTCGAACCATCCAGTATGTACCTAGTTCTTGTACCCTGCTTATCTTACGGAATATGATGTAGAACAATATTTAATATGTTTGCAATGTAACTTTAATGGCTGCCTAGTGATCAGTCTAGCATATAGATACATCAACCATAATTTATTTATTTAAAATATTTTATTTATTTTTTTAGACAGAGGGAGAAAATGAGGGAAACATCAATATAATAGAGAAACATCAATTGGTTGCCTCTCATATGCACCTGGACTGGGGACTGAACCCACAACCTGGGCATGTGCCCTGACCAGGAATTGAACTGGTGACCTTCTGCTTCGCAGAATGACACCCAACCAAGTGAGCCACATCAGTCAGGGCACATCAACCATAATTTATTTAAATAACCCCTTATTTGTACATTTATGTAGTTTGCAGTTCACTGTTAATAAAGTGACACTGTGACAAAGATCTTTAGTGCATCACTGATTATTTTTTTTCAAATAAGTTCTTAGGCATGGAATTGTTGGACAGAAAAGTTATACAGTTCTGAGGTATGTGATATTTTTTGGCAAGGTGCCCTGCAGAAGACTACACAATTACATTCTTACCAGCAGACAGGAGATCAGGCATTTCCTTGAAATAACTGTCACCATTTTCTTGAAAAACTAATCATTTGGGTATTATCACTTAAGAAGAAATTTGTCAGTTTGAATGTAGGAGAAACTGATATTTTACTGCTCTGATTCAAACTCTATTCCTAGTGAATTTGAACATTTTTTCCATAGGTTTGTAGGACATTTGCATTTCTTCTATGAATTATCATTGTCTTTTGTCAAATGTTTATTTTTTAGTTTTTCTTTTTCTCTTGTTTCCAAACACCAGCATCAAACTAAATATCCTATACTTACAACACATAGCAGCAGGCGAGGGAAGTGTAGAGCCAAACACAAGGAAGTGGAGGTAGGAATGTGGGCATTCCTACACAGGTGTTTATTGAGCATTCACTTTGGGTCTTAGACCGTGTAACACAGTACTGACCAGTCTGTCAGATTTGCATTGATGGTATGTGGTAGAAGAAACCTATTTTTTAAAATTTAGCTATAATTGAAATTATATTAGTTTCAGATGTACAATATAATTATTTCATATATATATATAGCAAAATGACCACAATATATATAATTAACATCCATTACCACACATAGTTAAAA